TGATTATCAGCCCGACGATCCAGCCTACGATCATTGCAAAGCTAATTAAAATAACAATGACCTTCGTAGTGGTTCGTAGCTACGTTCCAAACGGTACCTACGAGCAGGCTACGAGTGGTTACGCGCAGCAATAATTCCTGACTGTACTGTAGGCCTATCCATTTCATGCAAAAAAGGGTCACCTGCTAGGTCAAAATGGCTGTATTGATGTTGAACACATTGCATTGTTGTACATAATTTTGCATGATGGGATAAAATATTATTATTTTATGCTAAATTATTGCAGAAATTGTAAGCGTTGCGGAAACAGGACCAAAGGTATATGGATAGGGATGTCTGTTTTGATTCCATTTTAGTCCTTGCATTTTGGGGAGGACTAAGCAATAAGAAAGCAATGTTTTAATTAAAGATTAATCACTCCATTAAAAACCTTACAGGAATACCCTAACATTAACATTGAAAAGATTCTCCATTCATAGTTATTTTGATTTCCCACCTGGTGGGTCTTATCATCTTCATTTTAGTGCATTTGTTTAAAACAGACTTACTGTATAGTAGGACAATATCACTTCATTTGTCATAAAAACATTAAAAGTTGAAAAAAGCTAAATGATCTAAAAATTTAGCCAGAAAATATCTGGATCCGCCACTGATTACAAGGTATGTAAATGTGGCTTTAAGAAATGACATGCAAGAAAATGTAAAACATAAGGTGACAGGGAAGATACTGGAGGACAAATGCAGAACAGAAAGAAATTACCAGCAAATTATATCAAATTGAAATTCAAAGAATTAATCTTTGTTAGAACATAAAATACATTCACCAGTTTAATGTACGTTCTTTCATACTACTGTACATAACATCATATTGCAATTCTATCCCACCACACACAACTTAGCAATGTGCTCCTATTGTTTAAATATTGATGCGATATTTAATCATTCCATACTGTCGCATTTTTCATATGAAGTTTGAATTAAATGTTTTATTTTGTAGGATATAATCTCCTTGGATCAGTAATTGCTGTCGAGCACTCTGTACCTAAAAGAGGACGCAAGTAAGAAAATTTTAATATTTTTTATAATGAATGTTATCTTGAAAACTGGGAAATTTTTTTCAGTTTTTAACCTGAATTCCTGTCTCCTAATTGTTATACTTTGTTTTTTTTATTTTACCTGTGTGACACTTGTAAGTTTACTGGGCTTTTATTCACCTAATTTGCATATAAAATGCACTCTGCAATCTCCACATGTCAACGATGCATATTTCTTTATTACATGATTACAGTTATGTCAAAAACATAGATTGCCAGTCACACAAAGTTGTGTAATACACAGTTGTGAAGCTTGAACAAATGTTTAAACATATGCATTGAATGTACATGTAGCCCTACAATTGCTATATGGATTGAGGTGATCAGAAGAGCATGTACAGTAGTTGCATTTTGGCCTACAAGCTGCACAATGCAAAGCTGTTTTACACAGGTGTCAAAAGGTCAGATAAATTCAAACCTACTGAGAACAGGAAAGAGTGTCTGGGATACATATTGACTTGTCTGCCTGCTACTAGCAGGCTATCTGTGTAATCTAACCAACACTTGATCTACACAAAAAATTGTTGTATCTGGACACATATTGGCTTGTCTTGCCTCTGCTTAGAATGTTAATTGCAAACCAGTCTTTGAAGTACACGCACAACAATTGCTGTATTCTTTTCTACTATTATGTTGTCAAGAAGTAGGAAATTGGCAACAAATATAATGTAAAGTGATTGAAGGTCTATTTTATTTGTAGAAACCAAACACTCAACATAAATCCTAATACTGTTTTAAAAACACAATTTGAAACATGATCCTTCTGATTGTAATAAGACATGGATACAATGGCGATTGATGTCTGGTTTAAAACGGACTCTAAAACAGACTCAATAATAATTTTGATATAATTTGCATACTTAAGTATTTACTGCTTACTTCGCAGCCAAGGTGGTAATGCAGGACAAAATGCTCAAAATGGTGTCCCACGTAAACCTACAATGGAGGTCAGACTTCACAATATTCCCCTTCAAGTATCTGTCCAAGATGTTGAAAGGTTACTCAATACGTTTGGGTCCATTTCTAAATGTGACAAAGGTAAGTGATTGCCACAGATACACTCTATTCTTACCATTACTTGCTTTTATGTTCTTGTATTTGTTTCTGTTGCAGAGAATGTTATTTAAAGAAAAGCTTGAATATGAGGTTGTGATTTTTGTTCAAATCTTTTTACCACATGCACCTTAATCCATTACACAGTAGCATTTCTTTTGAAATAGTTTGTTAAAGAAATTAGAGGCTTAAGGGGAATAAGTTATGTAAATTTAATAAAATTGTATTAGAATTCCATCATAGCCAGTAAAGATGGTTGAAATGAAAAATGCTTGTGTATGATTTGATTCATTCAATATAAACAAATGAAAAATAATAATACAAAACTAAGCACAGTCAAATGTTTTATCAGGGAATACCCTCTAAATCCAATACAGGATTTATTTCCAGAAAATTTTATACATTATTCAGAAGTTTGCATACTGTACAGATCGCCAGCCATATGATAATAGTTAAGAGCATACTGATATTGCCTGCCAATATGATTTACATAAAATATGTGAAGACATTCTCTCTAGATAGTGATTTTGTTAGTGTATAGAGATTTTGTGAATGAGTTTTGCTTGACTGCCATTGGCTATTTAGATGAGTGCCTGTACAGCATTCCAAGGCTTGCCAGAGGCAACAATAGATTGATGAATGCATAAAAATTATATGTAAACTAATTGTGAATATTGCACTTTATTTTAAAGCATTGATTGAATCCAATCCTGTATTAAGTTTGACACAAATCAGGTATGATAGGTCATGATTGGTTGTTTTTATTTTATTCACATGTAGGGGCTGAAGGAAAGAATGGCTACACTGTGTATGCAACATACAAGGCCCCAGAACAAGCACAACAAGCTGTGCACCAACTAAATGGTTATGAATACGAAGGGTCAAACCTAAAGGTATAATTCACTTGTCTGTATTGCATAGTTTATTAGAAATTGATATAGGTTGTACATTTTATTGCTTGTAATTTTAATTCTAGTGCAGGCGATACAACCTTCATTATCAGTAGGTATCCCAATGAAGCTGTTTTACATTACCACATTCTGGCAATTTTCACCAACTTCGATGAAATGACACGAGTTTGATGTTAAAAAATATGTCGGTCCTTAATGTATGTCAGTAGAAATTATATATCTTGAAAGAACATGGTTTATTCTTTACTTGCATGTATTTTTTATGATATTGATAAAATATTTGCAGAGAGAAAACACGATTTTAAAATAAAGTGTAAAAGCCAACGAGACAACTTGCACGCGTAAAGAAGTCTTTGGGAAATACCCTACCAAGTTTCAAAACATGATCACACGAAATCCAATAAAGATAGCGGATTAATTTCTTTTGTATGTTATTAGGCTATGAAAGAGCTTTATTTTGATGTATAATTCACTTGGTATTATTTATGTGTTCTTCCGCTGCAAAAATCAATTTTAGTGACAAAAATTGTATTTTGAAACGTCCATTTTATCTACTAGATTTTGCATTATACTAAAGTTAAATCATATTTACATATGATAAAACAGATTAGACAGAATGTAACACTGCCCTAGCTTGGTGTTTTTAGTAAATTTATGATCTGTAATGTCAATGTAACCCAAGATTACGATCTTTATTTTTGAGAACTGATAAAATACTGATGCATCTTTAGCCTTTTATCGTCCCGTCCATAGCATTGGTAGGTACCAGTGCGATTGGTGTAACAGAGGCCTAGCGCAGCCTACGCTACGTATTGGGTCTCTTCTCTAATCTTTATTAATTGTTAACCAGTAAAACTTTTTTTTTGAGAACTGATAAAATACTGATGCATCTTTAGCCTTTTATCATCCCGTCCATAGCATTGGTAGGTACCAGTGCGATTGGTGTAACAGAGGCCTAGCGCAGCCTACGCTACGTATTGGGTCTCTTCTCTAATCTTTATTAATTGTTAACCAGTAAAACTATGGTCAAATTTTAGTTAAAATATCATTTATATTTTAAATAATAATAAATTCAGACATTTATTTCTACTTTCTCAAATTTACTGTATAATTGGAGCACATAAGAGGTGACTTCTTCAAAGGCTGTTGAAATAGTTCGATTTTTCCATTTTTGAGACGCGCGCAAACATCGGCACGAAATAACAGGGACCAGACTTCAGGGCCATTATATCAAAAATGAAATTACGGAATGACCCAGAAAAATAATAGATACATAAAACTCATAAGATCTTGGGGTTTTGTAAAAATGATACATTTTCTGTTATTATATTCAAATTATGGCCCTCCAAAAATGCTCTAAAATCAGTCTAGAAAAAGGACCCTTTTGTCACATTCAGACCCTTTTTTCACCATTTTTAAAGTGCCATAACTTTTGAACAGTGTATTGGATTATAATAATTTAAACTGGAAAATGATCAGTGCAATGAGTTCTCTAGATGTAATGTTAAATAATAAATTTGAAAATTTTCATTGGGATACCTATTATCAGTAAATACAAAGAAATCTGTAGTTGGACAATCTTCTATTTGCAAGTCTAACTACATTACATAATCTGTTTTACAGACATCATTCCCATGCTCACTTTCTTAATCCCTTTACTGTAGGCAAAATTATTGCGATATCATTAATTTTAGCATGTATCGCTTCACTTGCTTTTAAGTTGTTTGAAGTAATTGCTAGAGCTTGTAAATATCAGGGGTGAACCTATTCACATTTGGCAACAGATTGTAGTTATTCATGCTTTGAAATGAATTTATTCATAATTTTGTAGTTATAATTCGTATTGCATATCTATGCTCATAAATTTCTGCAAAGGAAAATAATAAAAAATACAAATACGATTAAAGGATTTGTGCTGGTATATGTAAGGATTGCCTGCATATTTGTTTTTAAAATGAAATCAATAACTATCAAAATCAAAACCAAAAAAATATCTGGGATTTATTTGCATGAAATAACAAACCTAATGCTTCCTTAAATTTATTTACCTACAGGTTGATGTTAATGCTAGAACTATTAAAGTTTACTTAAAAGAAAATGATATTAATGCAAATACCGATTCTTTTCATTAATTTAGGTAAGGTATCATAATGGCCCTCGTGGACAACGTCGTTACCGCAACCAAGCTGGATTTATGAATAATCAACGTGGACCAGGACGAAGTAAACCAGACTTTTTAATTAGGTATGTCTTTAATTAGGATTATCATTATCATTTTATCATTTCTGTCTTGTTCATATGTTCATATTTTGTCCCATTTTTTTTTTTTTTGTTTCCTAAAGTCATTTAAGTGTGGAAGTGATTATTCATAGGTTCCTTCCCCCTGTGATGCCACTGTGCATGCTAGATACTGTGATTTGAGTTTCTTGCATAACATTGTTAGTGAGTAAAAATGTTGTAGGCCAGGGTCTGTGGCTCTGAGGCCATTCTCCGGAGGGGGAAACCGTATAATCAAAGCATTAATGAGTATTAATAATCCCAGTTCCCCATTTTTTATTTTCAAAAATGTTTAAATTTCTAACATTTATCTGTTACTTGTAAATGACATAATTTTGTATTCTTGTGTGGCATTTCATAAATCTAATGAAGAATGAATCCAATATTTTCTTACAGAATGCTTGTCCCAAGTGAACTAGTCGGTGCCATTATTGGAAAAGGAGGCGCTAAAATTCAAGAGACATCAAATTCCACAAGTACCAGAATTGATGTCCACCGCAAAGAGAATCCAGGCTCTGCTGAAAAGGCTGTGACTATCTTTGGACTCCCAGAAAACTGTGCAAAAGCCAGCTCCAAGATCCACGAAACCATGGTCTCAGAGAACCAGACAAACAACAAAGGGTATGCAAGATGCTAGCATTCTTGTCATCTCTCCTTAACTCTTAGTGCATTGATCAAAGCTGTTGGTGATAACAGCTTTCATGGGTTATACATCCATCCAACCAAAATATATATGGCCAAGTATTTGTGTCTGCTAATAGCCTAAATAACTAGTTTTTTAGGCCAGTTTTTAAGCATCTAATAAAAGTACTCTATAGTTGCTTTAACATTTTGGGAGCAGTATGTGTCTTTAGCATCTGGCTAGAATCATAGTGAGTGGATGATATTAATTTACATATCAAGTGATGTTCATCTAAGTAGTTACTTTTGCTTTCTTTTGTGTAATTTTGTAATTTATTGGATGTTCTTATTGTTAATGAAAATTGTTAACCTATGAATTTTTTTTATCTGTGGTATTGCTATTGATTCACTTGTAATTTTTTAGAGCTGATGTTCCACTTAAATTATTGGTACACAATGCCCTCGTTGGGAGACTGATCGGTGTTGGAGGACGCACATTGAAGAAGATTATTGATGATACAAAGGCTACCATCAGGATCTCCCCGTAAGTTTGTACTTTATTTGAAAATATTTTGCAAATCATTGAAGTAAAATGTGGGTTTTCTTTAAAGCACAAGGTTGTAAAAATCTGACCTCATTGTGTCACCCATAAAAATCTATGGGTTATGCAATGCTTCATGCACAATTCTGATTAGAATAAATATTTTTAGGGATATCATGACTGGGAATAATTCCATTTTACATACAGTTAGTATATTAGTTAGTATCATGGTATGTGTAGGCTAAGGATAATATGTTTGGTTCTTCTAGAATCTATGAAATGACCTATATTAAGCCAGAGAGAACAGTTTTTATCCGTGGCTCAGATGAGCAGTGCGAAGCTGCAGTAAAGGAGGTGACCCAGAAGCTGTTTGAGATCTACCAGAACCATGTTCAAAATGTACAGCAGCAGCAGCAACATAACCTGTTTCCAGGCCTCGATCACATGGCACTGTTTTCTGGTATGGGTAATATGCCACAGTACAATAATATGTACAATGGTGGATTCAACATGAATGAAATGGTAAGATTCTGTGATTTGTCCAACATTTTGTTTACATTTATTTCCACAAATAAATTAGAAAATATAAGTGTATTGCGAAAAAAAATTATAAAAAAAAACTACAGTATTAAACAAACGAAACAGTATGATGAATACATTGAGCCAATCCTGTGAGAGAATCGGTGAAATAAAAAACAATGTTCTTTCTGACTGATTAATTTGATATTTTTTTGTATATTGTTGATCTAAATTTTAAAATGTCGGTATTTCATCCACGAAGGTAATTTTCATTTTCAGACCCCTAATCAAGGTGGGATTTTACCTGGTCTCTACTACCCACAAGGTGGCCAAAATAACCAAGCTCAACAACATGCCCAAGTCAGCGTAAGTTCCATTGTAAAATGCTTTCATCTTTCTATATCTTGTTGGCAGTGAATTTGCTACATTTATATGTATTTTTTAAATTTTTATGTTAATGGTATCATGTGTTTTAATTTCAGTCAAACGAGACTGCCTTCCTCTACATTCCCAAGGATTCTGTTGGTGCTCTTATTGGGGTCAAGGGAAAACATATTCAGGAAATTGCACGCAAGTCCAGTGCTTCAATCAAGGTAAAATACTACATTATAAGCACATAGGATTTAGTTTCAGATTAATGCAGTGAATACTTTGATAGGAAAGACAGTGTGATGATTGGAGTCAATTGTATGAGTTAAATGATAAAACTATGTTCTTAGGGGAATATGTGAACACAGGCGGCATGGTATAGTTTACTTGTCAGTTAATTGCTACATGTCGGTTGAACTTGATAACTTAAAATATCAAGCAATTCCATAATATAAGTTACTTATTTTCAAGTTTATTAGGTTTTGTGGAAGTATGCTTTTATTATATTTTAAAGGAACAATTTTTAAATATATACAATAAAATACATGTGCAGCAATTTAATACCGTACCCGTACATTGTCTTTCAGATTGCTCCAGCTGATGATGATACAAATACGGAGCGTAAAGTGACTGTTATTGGTAGTCCAGAGGCCCAATGGAAGGCACAATTTTACATTTATGATAAGATCCGCCGTGAGGGATTCTTTGGTAGCGACGAAGTTCGTCTAGCATCTGAGGTTGCCGTGCCTGGACGTTTTGTTGGACATATCATTGGCAAGAAAGGACGCAATGTTCGTGAACTGCAACGAGTCACAAGTGCGCGTGTTGAAGTTCCAAAGAACGATGTCAACAATGGGAGCGGTGATGCTAACCCAGATGAAGTGACTGATGAAAATGAGAAAGAAGTTTTTGTTCGCATTTTTGGACACTTCTACTCAGCCCAAGTAAGTTTATTACATTTTTTTAAAACATATTTAATTGAATTTTATTTTAAATAAAACCTTCCTAAAAAGTCTCATTAACATTCTGACCGCCATCAGCCACCGCCAGACAGCTCGTTGAGAGTGCGTATGTGATCAGATTGACATGTAGTGAATACTACAAGAACTACAAACATTTTAGCTTTACGATGGTACCAAACACTTTATTCTAATCACAATCTCTGACCCGTAACATTAAAATGAAAATGACTCACTTTTGGAGATACACGCAATTTCTCACAACGAAGCTGAGATAATCGCAATAATAGTGTTAATACTGTATGCTTTGCTTATGTGATCTATGTAGTGCAATGCAAAATCGTGGATGACCCTGAAATGCTTTAGGATCCCTTGCATGTCCATCCATAAATTTAAGCTAGCAGTATTTTCATCCCATTGATTATATTTTTTTTTGTTGCCAATTCAGGCTGCACAACGTCGTATCAGAAGGATGCTACAGGACTTTTATATGAAATCTTCTAACTATCAGCAGTATGCATCCCGTCGAAGCCCAGCATTGCCAGCACCACCTCAACCAATTGAAAGTTAACTGAATGACGAACTTCAAGAGATACAGATACGAAGACGAAGATTAAAAAAAGAAAAAATAATAATTTAAAAAAAAATAGCAAAATATAAAAAAACCAAAAAAAAAGTAAAATATAAAAGGAGAACACATTTGAGTAGTTCTGAGTCTGGACAAGAGACTAACAGAACTGGCGATTTCTACTGCTTGTTTTTCTATTGGACACCAAAGGCATCAATCCCCTGGAAATAAACAAGAAAAAAACACCTTTTTTGAAACGTTATTTTTTATTTTGTTTTTTACTATGAAGTACAAGAAATTGATTGTGTTCATTTGTATATGAAGCAAGGGCTTTTTTATAGTCTAAATTAAATTGCTTTATTTTTGATATCAAAAAGAGAAAAACTTTGAGATTTATTTGAATCTGATACAATTTGGAATATGCGAAATAGAAACCTTTAAATGAAATTTAATAAGATGCCTATAAATCAGGAACATAATTGGAAATTTCTTTAGATAGAATTGAGCCAAATTCAAGATCATGGTTTCCATACATCTACCTACCTCTTGGAATTGCCTTTTGAGGGCTGCTTCCTAAATTCTTCCTGCAAAAGGATGCAACAGATGATGTTCCATAAGAATACCTCCATCTAGTGTGCTTAAAACAAGCAGATAAATCTGTATGTACAGGAAGGTCGGAAAAGTCCAAATATTTTTAGCAAGAGTTTTAACAACGATGACGAGAATCCTTGCAAAAAACGTTTGTTACTTTTCCTTCCTAAGAGAAACAAAACTATTGAATACAAAGCAAATTTATTTCGTCCAACAAACATGCAAAAGAAGGTCTAGTTGGCAGAAAGAAGATGGTTCCTTGTGGTAATAAATGAAATTCAGGTGTAATAATTATAATAGTTATATTAATTAAACAATTGCTGCCTGTTGCTATGTTGCTAACAAATAATGGCCAGTATTAAATCACTGTTGAATTTCAAGAACGTAGTAACCTGTTGAGCTAGTACATATATGGACATAGATACAGATGATTTCTAAGAAATAACTCCTTAGGCCAATCAGCAACATCATAATGTTGTGCTAACCACATTCCACCAGGTTTCTCAAGGTCTGTCTATGCTGTGGCTGGAATGCAAACGGGCTTCATGATAGTTAAAAGGGAGATCTCTTCCTTTAGCTGGGACTGTAATCAGTCTATTAGATTATTCCTATATATAGGTGGCGATAACTGTGTTGTATTTATCTCTGCATGTTTCAAAAATGACATTTTTTCATTTCAGAAGATTCATCTATGACCTGTGGCATAGCATTGTCTTTGTAATTAGTCGTCGTTTGATTACCTTCTGTGTTTTTTTTTAAGTGCATGTTGGTTTGCACAAAATGTTAGTTAATAATTAAGCGTCATCATTCTTTAATTCTTTTGAATTTTTTTAATTAATATTCACAAATTGCATTACTGTAATGTTTGTTGCTCATGTAGGTTTAGGATTTCGACTGTTTATCTGTTTGAATTGGATGCATTAATCTTAGCCAACTGGTACTTGGGGTTTAGAAAAGAAATTATAAATGCTTTTTTCTTTTTCTATCCTTAATCTTGGAGATGCATGTTAACATCCTTGTTAACGAAGACCAACCAAAATAGATACTAATTAGGATCAGTCGTACAGTAATTAAGGTATTCATAAGTTTTTTTCGCAGCGGAGTGCTGGCTCTAGAAACCATCGTTAAACACAAGGAACCATCTTCTTATAAAGAGGAATTTAAAATTTCACCAAGTGCTTGATAATTATGTGGTCGTATCACTTCTCTAGATTATTTACCTTAAAGATCCACTAGAAAGAAGCAAAAAATGTAGAATGAATACTGATGTTGTATCAACAATAGCAGTGAGCTGTTTACTAGCTTTCTTAATGACATGTTTGCTGACATTCATCGTCATCACATTATTGTTTACCGCCCGTTTGCAGTCTGACAACACCGCATTTCTTTCAGCGAAATAAACCAAGTATTTCTGTGAAATTGAAAAAGTGTCATTTTCATTTATTTTATATTACTTTTGAATGTAAAGGTAATTAACTATTGTTTCATTTTGTCTAAATTCATGTTTTTATTTAAATTGAAAGCAATAGTTGATGTGATGTTCTGAATTGAAGGCAGCAGAGGTGGTGCCAGGATTTGTCCAAGTTCCCTGACAAAAGAAAAGTAGGCGCGACTGGGCGTGACTTAATGTTTTGACGAATTGTGGGTTCCCCCCTAATTGGCCCGGTTTCTCCCTGGCGCCACCATGATTGAAGAGTGAGAACAAAATTTAGGCGAGAGGCAAGGTGATGTTGGCATAACTTTTTAAGCAGTTACTGTATTCAGTTTATGTCGTGTATCTAGTACTGTACAGTTCATAAGCAGTTGCAGTAGTTCTGTACTAACGGTAATTGGTGGCCTGGTGTTGCTCTTTTGCTGCTGAACATTTTCAAAACTCTTCATCCTTATACCGTATTTCGTATATGCATAGAATCCCATTCATCTCATTTTCCAAATTACTGTACTACTATTATCTAGTAGGTCTAATTGTGTAGACTGGCGAAAGTACAGCGGCAGCACCGTGTTTTACACTCAGGAAAGAAACTAACCCGTCTTCCACAAATTCAAAAAGTTCTTGATACAGTACTGTACTCCTGATGTTAGCTGGCCATGTATCATCAAAGGCAGCAAAATGCAGTGTTAACGAAGTGCACAATTTTTTAAACTTCTAACTTCTCAATTTGGGACCTAAAAAATCGCTAACATTTCTACCGTCTTGTGCTGTAGGTATTGAAGCAAGGTACAGTAGGTAGGTGTGTTGGTGTCACTGTAATTATATTTCTGTTCATTTCAAATGAGGAAAAAATGATGACAATACATTCTTCATACCGTACAAGGCAGAAACAAAATAGATAGCGAGACTATGAGTCTATAAGCAGATTATAATAAAGTTACGAAATGAATAATTTTAGTTTCGTGAAATTTAATTACTGTATTATCGTCGTTATTACGAAAAATAATTGTATTGATATAAATTACCGGTAAGAAACTTTCGCACCCCAGCCCCAACCTGAGGTGGTGTGGACTCTACACCTACCGCCAAATCTTGCATCCTTCGTCCCCAGTGTATTGGCTGGCAACATCTGCCCTCAAAACAAAGGTTAACAAAAGCCACATCCTCCAGCAGCAAAGTCTCATTCGTGGTTATGCAAAGTTATTTTAAGGTTTTCACTCAGGACGCGGAATTTACAAATATTTACTTTCACGAATTTTTCTTGTTTTAACCGATAGGCCTAATTATTGGTGATCCGCTCTGCTAGCGGATCACCTCTTGTTATTGTCAAGAGATCTTTTTTTTTTTTCCCATTTCTTGTTAGCACGATATCTAAAAATTGGCACGAGATTCGTACATGCACGCTTCAACAAACATTAGCTTGGCCTGGAATAGTCACAATAAGTTTTCAAAGTGCGCAGTTATGCGTGACGTCATCTACGCGCAATTTCGCGTTTTTACATTATCGATCATATCAGCCTAACCAATTGCCATTTCGAAGTCGTATTAGGTGAGTATTAACTTCAAGTCAATGTTAAATGTAATTTACCCTAATTTTACGCGTGCGTCAAACTTTTAAAATGCTTGAAATCACATTTAGATAGTTTCAGGCCATTTTGATCATTTCAAAATTTTTTGAAATTTACCACTACGCGCGCGCATTTTTACGCGCGCAGAACGTATGGAAGCTAGAAATTAATTTTTTTTTTCACATTTTGGGTTCCTGACATTGTTTTGACAAGTTTCCAATCTTTTCAATCACTCTATGGCCAATAACAATGCCGTACGCACACATCAAACATAGTGACATTTGAGCGCATTTGTGCGAAATACAGTGAAATTTTGCTAAAATCAGGCCTTTAGGATGAAAGGTAACCCCCAATTTTTATTACATTTTCTGAAAGCACATGAATTGTAAATATGATTTTATAGGTCATAATGGCTGATCGGACATTATGACGTCATCATATTGCCATCTGAATTCAACAAACTGAATATTATCGATGACCTCATTTTAGCAAATGCGCATTTGAGCGTATCACTTATTCTTGATCGATTGCTTACCCCCTCATCTTTCTTTCGTCCAGCCTTTGATGACCCCATAATCACCTTAATCAGTCGATCT